CGACTTGAGGAAAACGACAAAAAGAGATTCAATACAAATATATTTTAGTGTAAATATGAATAACTGTAATGTATGTATTATCCCGTGTTTTCCTTGCAGATAACCTCGTAGATATTCTGTGGATTAAAGCTTTTTATGTGAGCCTGTGCTGCCAGGAACAAAACTCTGGAGAAGCACAACTATTATTTACTAGTTTTTTAGACAAAAACTTACAAAAAGTAATAGTTTTAGTCTGGAAAGCATGTAGGTTATGGACAGATTCTCTCGATGCTAAATATGGCTCAACAGACGGCCCAACACATTTAAAATGCACCCTCAAAATCACAAAGAAACTCCTGGAGAGTGTTGCCTTGAACTTTAAAAGGCAAGACACACACAGAAAGAAGTGGATAAAAGACATGACGAGTTGTAAAGTGAGAGGAAGACACATTTGAAGAGGATTTGTTTTGTCAGGATGAAGTTTGCAGAGAGCAGGGGGTCTGACAGAGGAGCAAGAAAACACTTTATTTTGAAAATCATTTGAGTGTAAAGAGCAGGAGAGCAACACAAAAGGTGCTGAAGTGTAAAGAATATACAGAATGAAAACAGAGCGCGTCCATCAGCTGTCAGTGGATATGAATTTCTTGACTTTATATTGAGCTTAAATATAGAAATACCACCATAAAGAAATATCCTTCAAACACTCAACGAGCTGCAGATGGTGTCTGTTTTTAAAATGTTCTTTTAATATAATTTAATGTATGTATTTATTTGTTATTGTTCCACTGGTTATTGTGTTAAAAGCAAAATAAAAACAAAGCCATCAGCTGTTAGTCGGTCAGATTGACTGCTGAATATTCAGTATAAACATACATATAAAAACTATAAGGTAATCTTCAACCACAAAGTGATGAAGTGCAGATGGTGTCGGGAGGGAAGTGGACTTCCCCCCCGACACCATCTGCCTGTTTCTGCTGAACAACACTTTCCTCTTCTGATAGATTATAACACACACCTGTACTCTACTGCCACCTGCTGGAGACAAAGACTACAGGCAGGAGGAGGGGGGCTCACCTGTGTCACCTGGAACACACACACACACACACACACACACACACACACACACACACACACACACACACACACACACACACACACACACACACACACACACACACAGACACACACAGCATGGGACCACTTTATTTTATTTTGAAAGGTGGCCATAAACAGTTTAGAGATTTGAGATACAGTTCATGTCATTTGTCATCTGGCAGACCATTCTCTGGCCACATGTTCACAGGTTATCAACGGTTATATTAAGCCTTCAGTTTGGCCGATTAAAGTCTCGTCAACTTTACAAATCTGCTGACCCGAGTTCCATCTGAAGGCCGATCTTTAGAAGCATCGAAGAACACGTTTTACTTTCAGAAGCTTTGAAACGTTTAAGAGTTTTCTTGTTTTGTACCAACTCACTAGAATGCAATGTATGCCGTGAATTCAAGAGTTAACCTTGTCTTTGAATATAAACATCTCAAAAACACGAAAGTGTATTCTGGATTATTTCTAAATGTTTGATTTTGCCACCCTCTGGTGAACACGTCAAAGTGTGTGCTTTTTAGTCCTTTTATACATTTTGTACCAGTAATGCTTTACCCTCTTGCATTTTCTATGTATTTATATTTGGTTATTCTCTGTATTCTAAACCTGTGTGGCAGCATAAGAAAAAGGATGTAATAAACATACAAATAAATCACCAAAAAAGAAAAAGGTTTGGCCAATTAAATTCCAATATGGTGACTTTTCTGCGAAGATAATTAGTAATTTGGTGAGGGCTATTATTCTCGCTTTGAGTGTAAGAGGTCCGTCACTAACGAAACCCCAATCGTGATAAATTGGCCAGGTGACACAGTGTGACGACCCTGCACTCTGAAACACAACCCACACAGACACACACACACACACACACACACACACACACACACACACACACACACACACACACACACACAGACACACACACACACACACACACACACAACATTTGACCACTTTCTTTTATTTTGAAAGCTGGCTGTAAACAGTTTAGAGATTTGAGATACAGTTCATGTAATTTGAAAGAAAACCAAACAAACAAATGCATTTCTTTCAGTCTCAGTTTTATTTGTTATTACATTTCAGATACAGCAGCTCTGCTTCGTATCAAAACAACGAGTTTAAATAAAGAAATGGACGGTCCCGAGCCGGACACTCTGATACAGGTGCAGGCTGGGAAATAACACCTTAGTACCATGATATTTCATACCATAATAACATCTGACAATATAAAGAAAAAGTCTGTTTTTATACAATTCAGACACTTTCTTGTTCTCAACTACAAAACCTATTAGTACATGAATCAACCTCTGGCTAGTGTTAGCTTAGCTTAGTTAACGTTGTGCTGATTCTCCATTTTAGGAAGACAAAATATCTTATAATTAAGATTCTGCGATGTCCAAATTGCCTCAAACTAAGTCTCTGATTACATATCTTTTACAACCTCTGTACGTCTAGAGTTTGGCCAATTTATTTAGACTTTTTGATAGCTAAAGCATGTTTTTATTGGCCTCACTGGGTATGGCACAAGCAATCCAACCATTTTGAATCACAACCAGTACAAGTTATCATATGACCGGAAACATCCTCAAAATGTTGTTAATGTCAGGTTGTAAATATAAACAGATGTCTCCTTTTAAGACAAATCCTAGTGGCATAGTTAGTAACATTGTGACCCTGCTAACAGAAGGTTGCCCCGCTGCTTAAATACACAAAATCTATTTTTAAACAACAGATAGAAAAGTCTGACGCTCATCTATAGCAGTGTCTTCCTGTTGGCCTGTACAGAAATATCAATTAAGTTACTTACGTAATGAGGGACGAACCAATAAGGTGACAAAGAGGGATAAAAGGGTGTCATCAATGTACAAAATCACACGACGGGACAGAATATACAAAAGAAAGCCTCAAATGTGAAGCTCATACAGTACATCAAAATCTGCATTAACATGCCTTGTTTTTAAACACTGTTACATGTAATGACATTATTGCTTGACATTCAGTTATGGCTAAAGTTCTTAATTTGCCAGATTTGTATTCGACCTGGAGAAAACAGAAATAAGTTGACGAAAGATGGAGGGAATATATTTATCTCAAAACATTCACACACACACACACACACACACACACACACACACACACACACACACACACACACACACACACACACACACACACACTCACTGTTTAGTGCAACACACACATATTTCCCCCAGTGTAATACTTTACTCTGCATAGTTTCCTTATCTTTAAAGCATTGTCCATATTGCTCAATACTCAATATTGCCTTCATTAAGCTGGTTGAAGTTACCTTGGTTGCTGATTGGCTAATGGTTGCACAACCCAAAAGAAACATTGTGACATCACAAAGTGACCAAAATCTGATCAGCTCCTTTTCAGACAGGTTTTTATAAAGATGGATCAGGACAAAAAGAGAGGGGTCTTTGTTCCGGAGACTTTCACACATGTTTTTGTAGAAAATACATGAAGAAGTGGATTTTAAATAATAGGGGACCTTTAAATCTTGGAGCGATCCAAAAAAATAGTTATATTGTTTTTGTATCTGTTTAAGTTTTCAATCTGCCACTTTAAATATTAAGTTAGTGTAGTTTGTTTGATATAAATGACATTACCCAGCTGTACTTTTCCAGTTAACTGCCAGGACTGGATGAATTAACCCATATATTTGCAAGTTAAACCTTAAGATCTTCATAAAGAAAACAGATTTTAGGTTTGGCCGTTCACATGATTTTTTTTAGGAAACATGTAAATATGGATGATTAAAATGCTTAAAAATATAATTGAAGAATCTTACTTAAATATTATAATTCTCCTAATTTATGTTAATGTTGAAGTCTTAGCTGCAAGTTTAGCATTAATAAAACAGTCAGAAACGGTTAGATTTAATGGGGATTTCAAACACTTTTCTTACAGTAAATGTCATTAAACCTTAACTGCTGCAGACAAACTGACCGAAGAAATAATGATAACAAACTGCAGTTCCCTGTCAGGCCAGTAGGTAGTGCTACATGCTAACTGCTACATTAAAACGAGCTTCTCTGTGTGCGGATGCTGTCTGCTGGTCTGGTCAGATGTGACTCATAATCACATATTTCTGCTGCAAAGTTTTATATTATATCTGTAAGATGTAGCGTCAGTAGGGCTGCTGCTTCTGGAAGTCTATTTCATCATTTTTAGATAAAGTTTCTGAACACATTACTTCAAGGACTACACTACCCATAATCCTCAGCGGTCAGTGGTGTGGAGAAGACTCCAGCAGAGGACATAAAAGTCCAAATGAAATCTTATTTCCCGAATTCTTTCTCATACTTTAAGGTTCATATTTATAGATCTCTCCGCTGTGTTTGTGCTGGTATTCTCTCAACATGTGCATATTAACTTATTTACTGAAGTGTTTTGTTGTTGTTTAGAATCAGTTCATGTTTGCTGGTTCGACTCCCGGATGATAGGCCTATTTGTTACACGTCATCCGACATTCCCTGTAACAGAACATTATTTTCCCCTTTATTTCTTTGACAAAGTTCCTGAAAGATCACAACAACGATAAGAATCAGTTGACACCAAATGCTAACAACATGCTAATCAAATATCCAGTAAAACGGCCTGAGAAGAGACACAAAAGTGACGTTTGGTGTCTTGTTTACATATTCTCAATCTGCATTACCCTGAGTGATGCATTCACTGACATCAAGTGAAGAAAACAGACGATATGCAGCAGACATCATTACAAAAAATCCCCAAAATCTGAACAAAAAGTGGATATTTTACTCTGAGGTCGACGCTGTTTTGAGGAATGGCACAACTAACCTTGTTGATATAATAACGCCATGACTGTTTGTTGTAAATATTATAGATACATATTGATTTTGGTGCTTTGAAATACTTTCCCCATGGTCACCAAGACTTGAAATAACTATTTTCTGATCAAGAGACTTGAAGAGTACTTTTCTCTGTGGGATTTGAATACATTTCTGAGTGATAACATTTCGTTTTTTTCTTTTGTACTCATAACTATTTGTACATCCATGTGACATCCCTGTAGCCTACATATGCTGATAGCTTAGGTTGTTGTGAATACAAACATGTATATTAATTGATTGTGCAGCACAGGGTTGATGTTTTAAAAGCATGTTTACAAAAAAAGCCCAGGCGAGCCAAACGTGTGAAAAAGGGGCTTAGACCTCAGAGGGTTAATGACAGAAACATCCCAAATAAAGTTGGCCTTACAGACGGAAAAAAAACTAACTTCATATCAAGATTTCTTTGTCTTTTGCTCATCCTTCAGCTTTTTAGTTTCCACATGTTTCAGAATATTGTCTTTAGCTGTGATAAACACACATTACTTCCAGTTAAAGGTAACTAGATAGATAGATTATAGCCTTATACTTAATCTTTGATGCAGTGTCTCTATATTTACTTTACAACATTTTCTTAAACCCTATTCTTTAAGATCTAGAAGATAACTCAAAGTTTCCAAAGACAGCAAACCTGTATTTTTGAATTTTGAGAAACGTGTCTTAAAGATTTTTATAAATAATAGTGCAGCCTTAAGAACATAAGAGATTTAACAACAAGAAGCTCACCATTGCACACTTTGTTAACCAGAACCTTAGAGATTCAAGAGGAAGCTTTTATAAAAACCCTGAGGAGCTCCGAGTACAAACCGCTCCTTAACGAGATGTAAAAGTGTTTCCAATCCTTGTTTTTGGTGCGAGTGAGGCTCAGACGTGAGATTGAGAAAGAGGTGATGTGGTGACGAACAGTGTGAAAACTGAAGAAGTCTTTCAATGTTAGAGGAGATCCAGATCCTGCGTCTACGGAGCGTCGTTGTCTGAGCATCAGCGTCTTTTTTCAATCATTAACCCAAAAAGAGAAAGCACGATGATCCCAGCGACTTCTTTCCGAGGGCGCCATCGTTTTTAGAAAATATTTAAACTTTATGAAAAGGTACCGGTGACATCACTGCAGACATTTCCGTTCTTTTAGACGGAAACTATAAAAAAAAAAAGACAGAAAAATCGATTTATTTGAGCCAAACGTTCCCTCCTGGCTTCCTAGTTCCCTTCCTGGTTTCCTTCCTGGTATCCTTACTGGTTTCCTTCCTTGTCACCGTCCTGGTTTCCTTCCTGGTTTCCTTCCTTGATTCCTCCCCGGTTTCCTGGTTTCCTCCCTGGTTTCCTCCCTTGTTTCCTCCCTAGTGGCCTCGCTCTCTCAGAGGTCGCTGTGGTGCATGTTGAGCTCCATGTTGAGCTCCATGTCTCCTCCGAACAGTTCCCGGTACAGCGGAGGAAAGTGAGTCGTCACGATGTCGGGGTAAACGGCTCTGAAGGCCGACAAGTTCTCCGAGTGACGACTGCACAGCGAACGCAACGCTGACACCTTACATCTAAGCTGAGGAGAGGAGGCAAGGAGAGGAGAAGAGAGAAGGTGATGGAAGAAGAGAAGAGAGGAGTCAAGAGGTGGAAGGAAGAGAAAATGTGACAAGGAGATAACAGAGAAATTATGAGAGGAGGGGAAACAAAGTGAGGAAAGGAGAGAGGAAACAAGAGAAGAGACAAGGATACAAGAGAAGAAACAATAGAGGAGGCAAGGAAATGAAGGAAGAGAAGATGTGATGAGGTGAGAGGAAACAAGAAATAAGAGGAGACAAGGGGAGAGGAAACAAGAAATAAGAGGAGACAAGGGGAGAGGAAACAAGAAATAAGAGGAGACAAGGGGAGAGGAAACAAGAAATAAGAGGAGACAAGGGGAGAAGAAAAAAGCAAAAACAGTCGACAAGGAAAGAGGAGATGAGACAAGAGAAATAAGGAAATGAGAGTTAGTTGTTACAAACATTAATGAAGGTCCTCACAGGTAAAGGATGTCTTTAACGTGTGAATAGTTTGTCTTGTACTTTTGCTTATTGTTAGTATAAAGCTTTTAAGATTAAAGGGACATGTATGAGGTGTAGTTCAGTATCTCACCACATGAGGGCAGTGTGAGAAAACTCTTCTTCAGAGTTTAATATTCCACTTCCACTGAACAGTGTAATCATCACTTCTTCAAAAGACCGTGTGTGTGTGTGTGTGTGTGTGTGTGTGTGTGTGTGTGTGTGTGTGTGTGTGTGTGTACCTTGCTCAGGGCTCCTTCCTCTCTCTGGTTTTTCTGCAGCACGTGTTTCAGAGCGAGCTCCGTCTTCTGCTGCAGTTTCTCCACCTGAAGCTTATCCTGCAGCCATGAGCGGTCTGCACACACACACACACACACACACACACACACACACACACACACACACACACACACACACACACACACACACACACACACACACACACACACACACACACACACACACACACACACACACCCTGTGTTAGCCAGTCATCACATACAGAGCATGAACTCGTTTCTGAACAGTGTCCTTCACATGCTGATATCCAAGAGAGGGAGTTACACAGTCACAAGATGGAGGAATAGAAAGCAGTATTCAATGTTTACTTCAGATTAGCTCCACGTCAGAAATGATCATGCTTCTCATATGTCTATCTCCATAGAGGCTGAATCATCATGTTAATCACATAGCTACACTGTAAAAAAAAAAATTGTAAAAAAATGGAAATTTTCTGGCGACGTATCATATGCCTAAAACAGTGTGTGTGTGTGTGTGTGTGTGTGTGTGTGTGTGTGTGTGTGTGTGTGTGTGTGTGTGTGTGTGTGCGTGTGTGTGTGTGTGTGTGTGTGTGTGTGTGTGTGTGTGTGTGTGTGTGTGTGGTGTGTGTGTGTGTGTGTGTGTGTGTGTGTGTGTGTGTGGGTGGGTGTGTGTGTGTGAGTGTGTGTGTGTGTGTGTGTGTGTGTGAGTGTGTGTGTGTGTGTGTGTTTGCGTACCTGCAGAGAGCAGGATGTAGGCTGAAAAGAGAGCGAGTTCTTCCTCCGACAGACGCAGCGAACACATGCTCTCAGCGAAGTCAAACACTGAGGATATCAAGTCATCACAACCTGCACACACACACACACACACACACACACACACACACACACACACACACACACACACACACACACACACACACACACACACACACACGATGAAAAAAGAGAAGCACTCATTTTATGGAATATCCCATTTCACAGAGTTTATGTCGTCTTGATGTCATGATTGATTTTACATTTGTAGATTTCTAACAGACACAACATTAGGCATTATTTTGTGTCACCTAAAGCTTTGAAGACGTCCGGTCCGGCGAACTTCCCGTCGAAGAAGACACTGTTGTTCTGAGAGTCGAAGACGCGACACATCCGCACTAACACCACCTCCAGAGACCCTGCAGAGAGGCAAGGAGACGGGGGGATTAAAGGGAATCAGCCATGTTCCTGCACATTAGATGTATTAAAGGTTTCCTATCATACTTTTTTTAGGCATATATTATAGGTCTCAGATGTATACAAATGTATAAAAAACATGTCTATGAAGTGTTTTGCTCAAAATACCAAACAGATCATGCATTTTAGCCTCATACCCCTCTATTTCAGCCTGTTACTAAAGTGCTGATTCTGGGTCTAAAACTTTTTTTTAACCTGTTAAGCACCAAGCCTGTTTTTCATGTTTCAGGCTCGAAAATGACATGCCCAAAACAAATGACTACAACCTAACTTCTAAAAGGGTTATATGGATAATTTCTTTTATCAAAGCAAGGTTACATCTGTGAGTTGGATGTAGAAGTGTCAGAATCAATATAAATGTTTTTTATTTTAAAGAAAATTCAGATTTTACATAGTAAGAAACTGTAAATTATAGTGTCCGTCCAAATATTATTTTTTACAGATAGTGAAAACTACTCTTGGATGATGGGTTAGTACACTAAAAGCTTTTGGAATCCAAAGTACAACATATAATAAGTACCCTGTATCAAGATTGATGCAAAACAAGTGACATTTGACCTTTTTAGAGAGGTTTAGCCAAAACCACCCCACCTCTGAGGTGATTTGGGTGAAAATGTTTTTTTTTTCATATCTCTGGCCCCCCTTAGTCGATTTTGATGGTTGACACCTCTTTCTGACCGTTAGAGCCAATAGAATCGAAGGGGGAGGCCCACATACACACTCATTGTAAAGAGAAAAGGTGGGGGCTGCGCGCATGGAAATCTAGGTCAGAGTGGAGCTGCATTCTAGCTTTGGCATTTGGAAACAAAAAAGCAGTTTTATTGCTTATGGATTATCAGAAATCATTTCAAAGAGGACACAGACACATTGGATTAACCTATGGATTAACTGCAGCATCGTTTTTTTATCGTTTTAATGCCATTGAAGACCAGTTTTGACCAAGGTAAGCCATGTTAGCGTTTCTAGCTACTTAGCTCCACATGTTATGATGTACGCTTTCGTTTATAGCGTCGCAAATGTTTATCACTGAGTGTTGAGGAGGGCACCACTAGATTCTGTGTCTCCAGGACACCAAAAACGAGTGGTTGGCTGTGCATCTAGGATCAGTAATAAGGGAGTTAGAGTGAGTTTAAGTGCCGTTTTAGGTTAAATTTTTTCGCTCGTGGCTAATTCAGAGGCTCAGTGCTAGCATTGTGGTTTTTTTTTTGATTTTTTTTTAAAAAGATCAGTTAGCTGAGTTTCTTCCCGTTACATGGATATAAAACATTCATAGTTTTATTAAATATTACGATTCCTTAGACGTTGTTTCCTGCAAATTACGCGTTTATCCGCCCGGTACCGGGGGGGGCCGTGCGTAACAGGTTAAAAAGAGGAAGCGGAGCTAATGCCTGATCAGAATTCTACCAGCAGAAACTCAGCTAAATGCTGCCGTGATGAAACTCCATATCATGTTCCAAACCATTTCTGAAACAGTATGGAGCTCAAACTCTTTCTCTCTCTCAGGTTCACCACAAGGTGAGTTCCTTTTCATTTCCTGCTTCTTTACAGTACATGTTAGCTCTGAGTGTTAGCGATGCTAATGTAAACAAAGACCATATTACGTCCAAAACACATCTCATTGATTCTGACAGCAACGTTTCTGATAGGCCCGTGGGTGTAAAGCCCGCCCACATTTCAGATATTACGTCATATCGGACGCAAATCTGTATGAGCTCCGTTGTACGCCCGTTTTTAGAGATTTGGGTACGGAGGAAAAGAGAGAGGGTTTTATTTTCTGACACTTTGTGAGTCTCCTGACACACCGGGGACACATATTGATGTATAAAAGACATCAAAAAGTGCATTTTGCAGGATAGGAGACCTTGAACATCAGCGTCCTCTCCTCACCAGCTTTCAGCAGCACAATCTGGTCGTTCTGACACAGATCCATGAAGCCCTCGATGCGTTTGGCGAACTCCACAACGTACTGAATGGCCTCCGTTATCTTCACGGCACAAAGCTGCCACATCTCCTCCCGAGGCTGAAACACAAAGAGGGGTTCATCATATATAACAGGAAAGGAAGGGGACAGGAGACAAGGATGGAAGCAAATTAGAAGAGGAGATAAGGAAAGAGGAAACAAAATCAACCAAAATAAGAGACGGGAGAAGAAAAGAGAGGAGAGGAAACATGAGGAGAGGAGAGAAAACAAGAGAAGAGGGAACAAGAGGACAGGGAAGGAGAGGAGAGGAAACAAGAGGAGAGGAGAGGAGAGGAGAGGAGAGGAGATGAGAGGAGAGGAGAGGAGGAGTGGAAACAAGAGGAGAGGAAGGGAGAGTGTTGTGCACCTTGCTCTGGTATCTCTGCACCTCCTCCTGCAGGAAGGCCTCTCTGACCTCCTGCTCCCTCAGGAACTGACAGGTCTCCAGGTGAGACTGAGAGGTCACCTGAGCCAGGTCCTCTGGGACAACAACACACAACAAGTTCATGACGGAGAGAAAAGAGTTACAACAAGAAGCAATGGAGACACTTCCCCTCAAAACAGAACAAGGCTTCTACACTCAGCCTGTGTTAATACAAATGATAGCATCCGGTTAAACTGTTTTTAAATGTTGATGTCATTTGTGATAAAATGTCGTAAAAGGCTCAGCATGATTTTAAATATAATGTATTCCAGTTGACCGGCACCATGTTTTGAAATGGTGTTATGTCTGTCTTTTTAATTATATTTATAAAGGGTTAAAACGTATTAATATTAGAGTCCTGGAACATTGGGAGTAACACAAAGAGACAGAAGCACCGACAGCCTTTACTGTGGGGGAAACTTCTGTGTAGCAATGCATGGAGTCACCGACTCAGGAAGGAGACACGGTGAGAGTTGGAGCTTTGATGTCAAACACTGATGGGTTTATTCAGAGTATTCGGCTGGAGGATTCACATCACAAATCAAAGAGTCAGAGGTTCTGACCACACGGTAGAGTTGCCACGTCAATTCTGAAGAGCCTCTCTCTATGCTAGACCTTTTAACAGGTTCACAGAGAATCAACATCTCTGAAGGAGTAGACTAAAACAGCTGGGAACACTGAACCACTTGTGTCCGACGCTCATGGCCTCAAAGATTTCATATCTTAGAGTCCACAAACACCGATAAAGAAGTGCCTCAGTGTTCTCACAACAATTACCCCTCGTGCCAGACAAGTTGACCGGTCACAAACTGGTGACAACAACACATATGGCACCAAGGCCTTTCCTTAAAGGAGATAACAGACGTCAGAGTAGATCATAAAACGTCACAGAGCAAAGGTTAGATATCTAGAAGAATTATTCCTTAACATTTACTATTCTCAGAAAAGCATGATTAAAAAACAATGGTTTGATTCCCACTCTCAGCTCTGATAACACATTTCTGGCGGCTTCTGGTGCTCCGATAAACCAAAAGATAAGTGTAAGGCTAAAGGGAAAACAATGATGAGGAAATACGTTGAAAACAGAAGAAGAGATGCAGGAACAAAAAAGCACAAAGACTTTCAGACACAAAGAAGTAGGAGGTTTAAAATAGAGACTCATTAAAACCCCTGTGTAATTAGCAGCTGCTAATTGGAGCCGAGTGGGAATTATCCTCCCGTGAGAGCCACTGTGTTTTTTTATTTGGACAAAAGCATTCTTCATAATAACCCCCCATCCTTCACCCGAAGACGCTGCTCCTTGTTTTCATCTCATTATTTCATATTCATTCATCAGCGCAGAGAGGCTGAGTTACGTCACGTTTCTTCAGGGTTTGTTCTTCCTCTGCGCTGCGCTCACAGGCATTTAGTCGACACTGTTTCCTGCAGTAAAGATCCTGCTAGAGGACGGAATGTTTCTTCTGTGCCGCGATATAAAACATCACAAACAAAGGAGCGATGTGGGACAATACACCGGGAAATAATATCCAAATGTGGGAAGTTCAAGTTAAAGTGGACCTATCATGCTATATTTAAATGATATATTGTAGGGCCATACCTATATAAGGTATATTTATACGTTTCTGTTTTCAAAATACCAAACAGATCATGCATTTTAGCCATGCCTCATTTCGCTCTATTTGCTGTTCTCCAGCCCTGTTTTTGCACGGGGCTGATTCTGTGAGCTGCAGCTGACCACGCCCCCCTGCAGGAGAGGGGAGCGTGCTCTGATCAAGTCAGAAGAGGGGGAGAAAAATAGATCTCCATCCTCCGTGTTTTATTATAGCCTATTATTATATAGAGTCGTTATTCATTTGTTTTAAAGCTCAATAAATAACAAAGAAGACCTTTGACCGGCACTTTTCTAATTTTGTCCGGAAGATTTAAACTTTAACGGACATCTTGACCGGCGAAAGAAAACCTAACTGAAACTCTGCCGCACGGTCCCCTCGTTCCTTGGAAGAGGCGGAGAGGTGGGTGTTTGTCATCTGCTGGTGGACTAACCGGAGAGAATTACAGTGCTTGCCTCAACGGGGAGGGATTGCACTGAATTAAAGCAGCAGAGAGGGTTGTGTTTTCTGACACTTGGTGAGTTCCCTGGAACACCGGGGACACATATTCATGTATAAAAGACATACAAAAGTGCATTTTGCATGATAGGTCCCCTTTAAGTTACAATAAATAAAGCAAAGAAACGATAGTGATGGATCCCCCGACTTCACACATTTTGAAGCACTTCAACCTGTTAAGCCCTGAGCCTGTTTTTCAGGTCTCAGGCTCGAAAATGACATTCCCAGAACAAATGACCATATCTTCCCTTCTAAAAGGGTTAAATTAATAATCTTTTTCTCAAAGTAATGATAAACCTGTGAGTTGGATGTAGAAAAGTCAGAATCAATATAGATGTTTTTTATTTTGAAGAAAATGTAGATTGAACATAGTAAAAAACTGTAAATTATAGTGTCCGTCCAAAAATTCTTTTTTACTTATAGTGAAAACTACCCTTGGATGATGGGTTAGTAGACTAAAAGCTTTAGGAATCCAAAGTACAACATATAATAAGTACCCTGTATCAAGATTGATGCAAAACAAGTGACATTTGACCTTTTTAGAGAGATTTAGCAAAACAAACCCACTTCTGGGGTCATTTGGGTGGATTTTCCATATCTCTGGCCCCCCTTGATCGACTTTGATGGTTGACACCTCTTTCTGACCGTTAGAGCCAATAGAATCGAAGGGGAATGTCCCCACACACACACATGGTAAAAAAAAAGGTGAGGGCTTCGCGCATGCAGTTTTGCATCAGAGCGAACCTATCTCTCGCTCTGACATCTGGAAACGGAAAAGCAGGTTTAATGCTTATGGATTATCAGAAATCATTTCAAAGGGACACAGACACATTGGATTAACCTATGGATTAACTTCAGCAGCGTTTTTATCGTTTTAATGCCATTGAAGACCAAGTTTGACCTGACGACGACACTGTTAGCGTTTTTAGCTACCTAGCGCCACATGTTTTGATGTCTGTTTTTGTTTATAAAGTTGCGAGTTTGTTTCATAGAGTGATAATGTATGTACCCATCGATTCTGTGTCATCTCACGATCAGATCGATGTGTTGGATGTGCAGAAAAGATAAATAATAAGGTTTTGTGAGGGATTTCCGTTGCAGTAAGGTGTTAGCATTTTTCGCTCGTTGCTAATTCAGAGGCTCAGTGTTAGCATTGTCGGGGTTTTTTTGAAAAAAAAAAAAAAAATGATCAGTTAGATGAGTTTCTTCCCGTTACATGGATATAAAACATTCATAGTTTATTAAATGAACATGCCCTCAGACACTGTTTCCTGCAAGATGTTGCGGGAGGACCACGGTACCGGGGTCTCTCGGGCTTAACAGGTTAAGTTCATTTCTGCTCTTTTTTTTTTTTGTAGGACGTTGGTTTTGTGTTTTGTTATGTTCTCTAAATAAATGTAAATGTAGGCCTCCACCTTGGGCTGCTCTCAGAGTTGTGTCTCCTTATTCCTGCCTGTTGGCGTCAGCTGATAGAGGTGCTATAGTGCTTTATTTGATCTTGGTATGCAGCGTGTTGATTATTCTCTCGACGAATTGAAAGTACTTATTGCCTGAGATCTCATGATGTGGTTTTATTAAATGTGCCAAGTGCTAGGACTGTCTTAGGGAAGAAAGCTTTTAGTTGTGCAGCTCCACTAACTTGGAACAGTCTGCAAAAATGTTTAAAACTGAGCACTTTGGTTCCCCTGCATCACTTTAAAACTCGGCTGGGTGACATGCTGTTTGATACTCATGGTACCTGTCACTGTAAATAGAGTTTGTAAACTGTACCCTGTCATTTATGTTGTATGTCATCCTTATTGTTGTTCTGTTGTTTGTATGTTGTGTAACCAATGTGCTGCAGGTCACCCTTGAAAAAGAGATATTTTGATCTCAAGGGGCTTTCACCTGGTTAAATAAAGGCTACAAACAAACAAACATTCTCTCATAGCTAAACACTCTGTCACCTCGTGTCTGCAGCACATGTTTTTGTCCATTCTCCGACCGTAACTTCATAATAAACCTTCAGTGTTTGCCATCAAGCTCCAGCTCTCCCGTGTCTCTCTGTGTTTCCATTATAGTGATCGTAATGATTCGTTTTGAGTCTTTTTTTGTTGTTGTTAAGGTTTTTTTTCCAGGTTAGTTTGAAAACTATATATTTATGGATTTATGATTTGTTTTTCAAGTTGTTTTTAATTCTCAGTGTAATATAAGTCTGTTACATCTCACCTGTAAAAGCAACAGTATGGTTATTGACCAACTGTTAAATCATTTATTCCTTTCAGCTCTCTCAAAGCATTGTGTCAGATACTTCAACTGCTTCTGGGCCTTCAGACACAGGAGGGGTTCAAACCTCTACATTACCCAAAATGCATTACAAAAGCATCTTTGTGTCAGACCCTCGCTGCCAGCTAAAAGCCCACATTCTCTGTATAAATATGGAATGTATTTAAGGCAGAAGCTGCTCACCGAGTTCAGCCATGGACAGTGAGGAAGGGTCTCCATCGCTGAGGGAGCAGAGCGGGAAGAAGCCGTTGTTGGAGCTGAAGTCGCTCAGAGGCTCCGGTTTGATGCCGTTAATATCGAGGCCCGACTGATCAGGGGACGGCTGGATGTCCAGGTAGAAACCTTGAGTTTCTCCTCTTCCTCTTCCTCCTCCTCCTCTTCCTCTTCCTCTTCCTCCTCCTCCTCGTCCTCCTCCTCTTCCTCCTCCTCCTGAGTCTGCCTGTTGTGGAGGAGAAGCTCTTATAGGTCATGTGAACTGTTGGTAATTCACGTTAGAATTCAGAAATATCGCTGAACAATTACAGAGGCTGTGCCATTGACTTACATTGGAAAAGAGACGTCCGTAAATCCTAATACGAATGCTTGAATAGCCCTAATTTAAATAATTAGGATCTAAAAATGTGATTGGAGGCGGTGCTTAAAGGTGAGAGGCGGGGTTTAATGATGGGAGGCGGGTTAAAGGAAAAACTGCTTTATTGGCCAAAAGATCCCCGAAGTTACAGATATGTTTTTACTTAAGAGTCAGGACATTCAGGCTCCGCCTCCGATGCTGTATCCAGATCTACATTTTGCCATATTTCACATTGGGACACACTAAAAAATAACATGTTTCTTAACCAACAAGTTCAGAAATACCCGTTTTATGACCCAACGACATGGCCTTTTGACATTTCTCAATTAATGCATCAGGGTGTAGAGTAAAGACCACCAACCTTTGAAGACACTGACCCTCCTTCAGGGGAGTTTTGCACCATGTATCCCTCGTCCTGCAGCTCTGTGATGCTGGAGGTCGGGGGGCCGTAGAGGGGGGAGAGCGGCTCGGCCTCCCCCAGGATCGGGGTCTCGATGCTGGGGAGAGTCAGGAGGAGAGAGGGTCCCTCCTGGTTCTTCTGCTGCTGGAGGAGGTGTTTCTGAACCTCAGCGTACAGACTGTCCCGCTGCTTCTTCGACATGCGGCCGAACTTCACAGCTGGGATTGAGGAAGAGGGGGAGATAACTGAGTAAGGATGTAAGGGATGTTCTTTTCCCCATAATGACCAAGTCACTGCACATTATCCCGCTTATTACAAGGCCAGATATTAAACAAACTAACGACTCAACTTCCAATATTAATTTAAAAGATTTTATTGACTAAAACATGATCGTATTTCTTCCGCTAAGAAAAATAAAACTCTGTGCCACGGCGCACCAACGGCTGGAACTGCGACAACAACTTTACGGCAGCACTGTCCAAATCTATTTACAGTTTCTGATCGACTAAAAATCGATGCTAAATTACTTCCCAGTGCGTTTGAAAGTTGACGCCAAGGGACCCTGACATAACGTCAATAGAGGACGAGTTGGGAGTAAGAACGTGGTGGTTTCTTTAGGTGTGTGTGTGTGTGTGTGTGTGTGTGTGTGTGTGTGTGTGTGTGTGTGTGTGTGTGTGTGTGTGTGTGTGTGTGTGTGTGTGACCTAGCATTACTATCCTTGTGGGGACCTACATCTGTTTACACAGTCACATGTGGGGACTGGCTTCCCTTATGGGGACAGAATGGAGGTTCCCATAAGGGGTATCATTAATTTTAGGGTGAAGACTTGGTTAGGTTTAGGGTAAGGGTTAAGGTCAAGGTAATGTAAACATTGTGTGTGTGTGTGTGTGTGTGTGTGTGTGTGTGTGTGTGTGTGTGTGTGTGTGTGTGTGTGTGTGTGTGTGTGTGTGTGTGTGTGTGTGTGTGTGGTTGTGTCTCACCATCTCTGGACATGCCCACGGTCCGACACTTCTGCAGACGGCAGTGTTGGCAGCGGTTTCGGCTCGTTCGGTCGATCAGACAGTTTTTCTGTCGCGGACACGAGTAGCTGGCGTTACTTTTCTGACTGCGTCTGAAGAAACCCTGAGAGAGGAGGGGAACGTTAAATAAGTGCAAGACAAGCTGAAGAGATTTTTATTCTACGTCATAAAATACGTCAGTAAATACCCCACTGGTGAATTTAAAGACGGCGGTTGCTAACAAGTGTCTAAATGAGATGACTAAACGTCATTGGGCACAACATTAGACGCCTTTAGCTTAGCGGTGGTGACGTGAAGTCATGTGACCGTGCTGTAGTTCCTTTATAGCCCAACGTTAACATCCTTTAGCTTAGCGGTGGTGACGTGAAGTCATGTGACCGTGCTGTAGTTCCTTTATAGCCCAACATTAGCCACCTTTAGCTTAGCGGTGGTGACGTGAAGTCATGTGACCGTGCTGTAGTTCCTTTATAGCCCAACATTAGCCACCTTTAGCTTAGCGGTGGTGACGTGAAGTCCTGCTGAACCGCTTTCACAATGCACTCAGAAAGGTTAGCAGGAGATGTTAACACGTGGTTGGATAGCAGCAGTTAGCCACACAGCATGCTAACCTATGATTTATTTTATAATAAATATTCGGGGGGAGGGCGGTTCGTGCTGTAGTTCCTTTATAGCCCAACATTAGCCACCTTTAGCTTAGCGGTGGTGACGTGAAGTCATGTGACCGTGCTGTAGTTCCTTTATAGCCCAATATTAGCCGCCTTTAGCTTAGCGGTGGTGACGTGAAGTCATGTGACCATGCTGTAGTTCCTTTATAGCCCAATATTAGCTGTCATTAACGTTAGCTTTTTCTTAAAAAATCAGTCACCATGGCAAGAGTCTTTCTAAGACATTAAAACTATTATTTTTTGGACTCATGTTTCTGTGCTTCACTTTCCAGCGATCCCCTAACAAGCTCTCCTCCCATCATGCTCTCTGTTCTGTGTTTGCATGCTGATGATCTCGTTGGCAGTGAAATGAGCCTCCAGCTGTCCGACAGCAGCTGAACACACTTTGTGTTCGGGGGAAAAGTTTCTGAGCCAGATGAAAACTGAACGTCAATGTTTGCCTGATTCTGCTAATGAGACTCTGAGATAGAGAAGAAGGAGCTGAAGGAGAACAGGAATTGGGTTTTCTTTTGTAAATCCCAGAATATGAGATGTAACACCAGACAGAAGCATTGCTATTGTTAATATCTGTGCAATTCTACACATAAGTGAAGTATAAAAAGGATAGAGCACATTATATACAACACGACTTGCTTTACAGAGGACTTAAAGCACAATCAAACCAACAATAAAATGATTAAATAACTGTGGAGGCAAAGTTATACTGTAATGCTTTTTACAGTTAGCCAACTGGACTTTTGGTCCATTAAACGAATGTAAAAAACATAAAGCATTGTGAACATTTGAAAAACAATGTCATTAAACTGTATAATATCTCAAAACATTAACCTGTTAAGCCCTGAGCCTGTTTTTCAGGTCTCAGGCTCGAAAATGCCATTCCCAGAACAAATGACCATATCTTCCCTTCTAAAAGGGTTACATTCATAATCTTTTTTCTCAAAGCAATGATAAACCTGTGAGTTGGATGTAGAAAAGTCAGAATCAATATAGATGTTTTTATTTTAAAGAAAATTCAGATTTTACATAGTGAAAAACTGTAAATTATAGTGTCCGTCCAAAGATTATTTTGTACTTATACATCATACAATCATTTCAAAGGGACACAGACACATTAGATTAACCTATGGATTAACTTCAGCAGCGTTTTTATCGTTTTAATGCCATTGAAGACCACTTTGGAGAGACTACAGAGCCAAGGTAAAAATGTTAGCATTTTTAGCTACCTAGCGTCACCTGTTTTGATGTCTGTTTTTGTTTATAACGTCGCAAATACGTATAATTCAGTGATAATGAGGGTACCCATCGATTCTGTGTCACCTCACGATGTGAATCGATGTCATGGATGTGGAGAAGAGATAAATAATAAGGTTTTGTGAGTGATCTTCGGTGCAGTAATCTGTTAGCATTTTTCACTCGTTGCTAATTCAGAGGCTCAGTGTTACCATTGTGGGTTTTCTTTTGAAAAATAAATTAAAATGATCAGTTAGATGAGTTTCTTCCCGTTACATGGATATAAAACATTCATAGTTTATTAAATGAACATGCCCTCAGACACTGTTTCCTGCAAGATGTTGCGGCAGTGCCCCGGTACCGGGGTCTCTCGGGCTTAACAGGTTAAACTGTGTAATATCTCAAAACCTTAAAAACATGAAAATGTTTTATTTTTTCTTACAGAGAGGAAACAGGGCCCAATTCCAAACCACACATTTATGTGTTTTTTTCAAACTCATATATTTTTTGTTAACATATTTTTGTTATAAAATCTGATGTTTATAAAGCTGCTTTGGTTTTTGCAACAGTGCCTGTAAATATACAACAGTTTTACAGTTTCCTAGACTAAACATGAGTAAATTATCCTAAGATAAACAACAATACGAGGTAACATGAAGTTGTTAACATCTGTATGTCGACATTAAATGTCTATCTTGTTGTGCAGTTTATCAGTGAATATTTTGCAGGAACTATTTGTAAACAGCGTGTTTCATGACAGAGACGTGCAAATGGAGGGGTAGTGTGTAGGGGGCGGTTTGGAATTGGGCCTAAATATTAAGGATGAACAGGAAGTGAGAGGATATACAGGAAGTGATGAAGAGGAAGGGGCAGGGCTTACCTTACAGCCCTCACAGGTGATCACCCCGTAGTGGATCCCCGAGGATTTATCTCCACAGATCTTACAGGGGATGATTTCAATCTGAGCTGCAGACACACAGAGGTTAGAGGTAATAACGTCAACATAAAATCAACCAGCCATCAGTCATCACATCTAGAGGGCAAGAGTACACACATCCTTTACTCAAGTAGAAGTACTGGTGTTTAAATATACTCTGGTAAAAGTAGAAGTACTGACTAAACTTCTTTACTCAAGTCAAAGTAAAGAGGGCTTTGAAATGTACTTCAGTAAAAAGTACCCATAACTAGCAGCTGTTTTAAAGAGTACCTGACCTCCCTTTATATTAATAGAACAATAATGTCATTGTTAGCTAATGAATGTTTCCATGCTGAACAACGGCAACATGACAACGTTTTCATTGGTCCCTCTTCTTTAGAGAAGACCAGGAAATGATGGATACACGGATCGTGTTCAAATCAATAGGCACGCAATGACTCTAAATAATAATGATCACGCCACCAAACACACATTCAAACTAAAGGAACCAGCCTGTTTGGAAAATGTGAGAAGGAGAAAGTACAGGTATTT